TTCGTCACTAACACACACAGCTCCATGTTCTTTTCCTTATACAGCTGATGGGTGTGGGGTATGATAGTGTGGAGATTAATACAGTAATACATCGCCATAAGGCGTTTTCGATACATTCATCTTAATGAGGAAAAGGCTTAATTAACTCTGAGAGAGAGAGAGAGAGAGAGAGAGAGAGAGAGAGACAAAGAGGTGGACGAGAGAGGCTCAGACAGAGAGACAGACAGACAGACAGACAGACAGACAGACAGACAGACAGACAGACAGACAGACAGACAGACAGACAGACAGACAGATGGAGAACATAGAGAGAAACTCCTCAGATTTTAAAAATAAAGACAGACAGACAGAGAGACAGACGGACAGAACTGCAGCTGCAGCCTGTACTCTGAGTCAAACATTCTTTTCTCCTTTGCACCATTGTCGCAGATAGGACGTTGTTTCGGCTTTACACATGTATACAACTTCTATAGTGCGGTCAAAAATTCGTGACTCCACTTATCCTCAAATATTATCTCTTTAACGGATGAATCAGTGTCATCCATACTTTGCACAGCAGTTTGGATCAATTTGTCTTAACTAAATCATATTTTTCCAGAACAATTGGGGCTAGATTTTGAAAAAATTCTTTATAAATTTATATAAAATACTTGAAATCTCTGCCTTACGCAAAATCGTATTGTTCACAGCACGTCCCGCTTCTCATACACATTTTGATTACGCATACTATGGCCTACGTCGCAGCTCATCAATGGCAATTTTTATTTGCAAAACTTATTACAAGAAATTATTCTTACAGTAAACACATTTTTTGCATTAATGGCTCTCAAAACAGGCGTTCAATAAGCATAATGTCCCGATTAGAGAAACATGACGGACTTGCTGTTAAAAGCAATATTGGCCCAGCTGTAAACATTTAATAATCTGTAGAAACCAACCACTTGGAGTTTTTGCTTGTATTTGTTAAGGAATTTCTAGAATACAAGTAGCAGGTGTTTTACAAAAGTTTTGATCTGTTAAGGCAAATTGATACAAGTCATTATTCAAAAATTGGAGAACCTATGTTCGATAGTTGAGGAGATAATATTTGACAATAAGTCTCGTCACGAATTTTTGAGCGCACTATACCCCTTCCACATACCCACCTTCAAACGGACAAGAACTCACGGTCAATGTTTCAAATAGTTCTTGTATTTTTTTTAAAAATTAGCAATCACCATCCCTTCGTTACGTGTGTAACGGAAATGTCATTTTTCGCCGAATGACCCAACTGTCAAACATCTGTCGTCCTGATCTCTCCTCCTCCTTTTTTGTGTTTGTTACTCTCTTGTAACACCTCTAATCTTCGGCTCTTACATGTGACCTTATTGTGTTGCAAGTGCCGTAAAACTCTTACTAAAAGGAGAGTTGTAAACCATCTGACATGTACAGGCTCACAGCTGACAGCTGACAGTCGACAGTTGACAGTAATGACAGTAATGACAGTCTCACGCCTTAGTTGTTTATGGCAGGCTCTCATATAATCAAGAGTGACAGTGTCTGGCTGCTTTAGTGTTTGATTGATCTCGCTCTCTCTCTCTCTCTCTCTCTCTCTCTCTCTCTCTCTCTCTCT